GATAAACGTGCATTTTTCACGATTCCGGTTACACCGTTCCTCGCAATTTTGAACAATCCGGATCGGAAACCCATTCGGCATTTTCTTGATCGACGCGCGAACGAGACCCCGAAGATCACCACCCACCCTCCTGCATCACCGTTCGTTCTCATTTCTGACTCTCCACCATCCAGAATTCTCTTCCCAATAAAATTCGATCGTTCCAAACTACGCGCGATAACGCGTTCCCGCTCTTTTGTCGTAAATTCAAAAGTAATGTTTCAACGGGATTATAAATAAAGTTCGATTCTATTTCTTTCGCGAAACAACTCTCGAAGACGCGTGAAAATGTTCGGAAACGATCGAAGCAAGCCTCGAAAGAAAGAGAAAAAAAAAAGTGAGGAAAGTTTTGTCAACGAAATTATTATAGATCGAAGGGTATACGAGTTTTTCTCACTTGCTTAATTTTGTCTTCTTTCATGTGGTAATGCGCGTTCGAGAACTTGGATATAGAAAACGCATACGATTTTAGATATAGATAACGATTCTCACGAGGAGATAAGTTCGATTCTATTCCTTCCGTTATAAAATTCTACTTTTCGAGGCGAAGACGCGAAGTCATCCACGAGTAAACACGTCGAAAGAAAAAGTTTTGTCAACGAAATTACTGCGCGTTCGAGAACGCGATCTTACATATAGATAACGATCTTCACGAGTCGAATAACGTTCTCGTAACGCGAGAAGATAAGTTCGATTTTATTCCTTTCGCTATTAAAATTCTACTTTTCGAGGCGTGAAAATTTTCGAAAACGAACAAAGCAAACCATGAGTGAAAACGTCGAAAGGAAAAGAAAAAGTTTCGTCAACGAAATTACTGCGCGTTCGAGAACACACAGAGAGATAACGATCTTCACGAGTCGAATAACGTTCTCGTAACGCGAGAAGATAAGCTCGATTCTATTCCTTTCGCTATAGAATTCTACTTTTCGAGGCGAAGACGCGTGAAAATTTTCGAAAACGAACAAAGCAAGCCACGAGTGAAAACGTCGAAAAGAAGAGAAAAAGTTTGAGAATGCACGATCGATTGGATAGAATTATTATCCTGGCATTCTCGCGGATCCAGCTAAGATCGAACTCTTTAATATCCTCTTATTAAGCCTCATTAAATTTCTCCCAACGCTTCTAATACGTTCGAAAGAATGCCTCCCTTTTCTTTCATCGATCCTTTCCATCGAAGGAAGAAGGCTCGAAAATCGAATCGAGAAAAAAAAAAGAAATACGTGAAAATTCCTTGCGAGAAATTCTTTGATAAATATTCAACATATTTAAATAACTTATTCGAGCAGGAATACGACATTTCTTTCTCAACCTCTCATCTTTCTCTCGTCATCGTCCATCCTGTACACGACGAAGTGGAGAAAGGGGGAGGGAGAGATCCAATCGGGATGCGGTTTATTTTTCCATTCACGAAGTGAAGAGAAAAAGTATCGAGATAGGGGGGAATCGATCTTTCATCGATGGGCGGAAGAGGGGAGAAGGGGGGTCGGTGGCAATTATTCTCAACGAAGTAGCACGTTTCCGGCAATTTTCACGGACTGTTCGTACGCCGTCTCGAATCGAGCAGCGTGTGGTCTGATGATTCTCTCTGTATATCACCTATACATGTGTACATATATGTGTGCTGCATTAGTGTGTATATCTATCTATCTATCTATATATATATATATATATATTATATTCCTAAATATACGCGTGTGTGGGAGGCGGACCGATGGAGGTGGAGGGTCGTCGGTGTAAAAGCAACGACCGGAGCTGACCTGAATCCACGGCCGGGGCGATGAAAAGGGAGCAACAAAAGCTGCACGCGGGACGAGGACGAGAGTGAAAATACGGAAAATAGGCCGTTGTGCAGGGCCACCTTGTGCAACTATTTCGTCGATTCCTTCTACCGTAACCTCTACCCAGCCAACTCGAAAACCTAACTAACCCTCCTCCCTTCCTTCTTCGAGGTGTCAACCAACCCCCAACTCTTCCGTAAATCCTTTCTTTGAATGGATAAATGAACGGGTTAATATCGAGCAACATTTCGAAAGGAAGTTTAAGAGGCGCTCGATCGAAGGTTGCTTACATCACGTGTACTTTATTAAATCTTTCGTCAAGCTAATTTAGTATTCTTTAGAAATAATAGATAAAAAAGTGCGGAACCGGAAACGAAGAATTGCGCAACGAGGAGGATCGTAATTAATACGCGCTCCAATTAAGCGCGCGAGAGTTTCCATAATCGATCAACCGTTTGTCCATTTCGACACGGGCCGTGGATAATTATTTCCAACGGGGAGAATCGTTCCCCGATTAATAATGCAAGTATATATATATATATGTATAGCGTATCGTGGATCTTCGTTCTCCAACGGACATCGAATATCAACTCTCTCCTTCTCTCCATTAATGCGATCCTGACATTCAACATTGCTCGACGTACCACCGGTTTTATAATAAAATAGAGAGTGTACACTAGCGTAACGTGCGTAATTAACGTACGTTTCTTTTTAGTCTCTTTCCTTTTCTCGAGTCGCTCGAGATAATCGAATTACTTGTGTACCTCTCCGTATTACAATATTTAACGTTCAACGGAGGAGCGTAATAAACTTTTTTAAATGGAAATTCAAATGAGAAGATGGAGGATAAAAGTTTATCGGGGAGCTTGCTACTTAATGTTGTAACGTGAGCGTGGGTTTTCGTGGATTAAAACGTTGGATGGAATTCGCCCCTATGCGAGGCGTTGAAAAATATTTTTCTCCTCTCTCCCTCTTCTATTTTATTCCTTTTTCTTTCTTTCTTTCTTTGTTTTTAGAGTTTTTTCTGTTGAAATTTTGTTTTAATAGCTTCAATAGTTTTTGGATTATTTGAATTGGGGATAAAAGCGAAAGGAATTCAAATCTGAATTATCTAGGCAAAATTTCAGAATTTCCCTCCTTCCCCTTTTATACCGAAAGCGCCAATTCCACGGAATACATCGGCATCGAAAGTACGAGAAAAATAAAGAGGCGCTGCTTCCGTGTTGACCAATCCACTTTCCGCGGATCCTACTAATGTCCTGTTCAACCAAAGCGTGTGTACCGAGCGAATAAGCATCATCCACGTAGTCCAGTCCCTGCGTAAAGTGGTAATCGATGTTGAACCACGCTCGTTTGCTTACTCCTCCCTCCCCTCCACTCCCGGTATGCGTGCACGTGGTGCACAACGCCTACCTACTCGAAAATCTTGGAAATACTTCCAAACGATATCTCTGTAATTATAAATTCGTATAATTACGAGAAATTTATCGCAAATTTTGTATAATTACACGTATATAGTATTCTATATATTTATATGAAAGTTTTATATAACTTCTTGTCCTATCCGCTAACTCTCGATTTCTTGGGCCGCAATAAACAAGAAGGTCACATCGGTCACGCGTCGAGCCAGGCTCGTGTTTACGTTTGGTTCGAACGAAGTATCACGAGTCAGGCTCGCGTTGTTTACGTTTGGTCCGAACGAAGTACCACGAGTCAAGCTCGTGTTTATTATTGTTTTTGGCTCAAATTTCTTACCACGAGTTTCACTCGTTATTGTAGAACGAGAGGTTAAAAACGGTTGAACGGTGATGTTTAGATTAGTAAAATTCACCTTGACTTGTCCGATTCGTGAAAATTGTACGAAGAGAACTGTGTTTCGAGGAATAATGGGAAACTTGCATTGTAGAAACATCTATAGTTTGAGAGTATATATATATATATACCGTGGTTGTACCGTGTTCGAAAACGATGGGAGAAGTTTTGTTAAAGGGAAGAAAAGGAAAGATGGATTTCAATTACGGTAGAATTATGAAGTAACCATAGAATAACCATAAAGTGTACTTATAACTATACATAACTTGGATATAATTAAAAAATTTATAGAGAAGGAGCACGGTTCGAATATCCGTACGAGCGACCAACTAAAAGGCACCGCTCATAAACTTCTAACTTATTCACACATGCCTTCTACCAAAAAAAAATCCGTATACTCTTTCCCCGATAAAAGAGAGATGCTCTCAGTTTTGTGAGCAGAGCATCTTTCCTCCTCGACGGAAGTGGAACAACCCTCTACACACACACGCATATAGTCAAAGGGAACCCATCATAAAAGAGAAAGGTGTCGAAAAGATGGATCTTGCGTGACGCCGAAATATCGAAAAATGGAAGAAGTTTTTTTTTTTATATTCGAGGCAACGATGCCGTCGGCTACTTTGAAAGTATAATTCCTAATCCATTGGTAAAATCGAGCCCGGAACGGAAGCGTCTTCAACGCTTTTCAATTTTGTTCGGCCAATTTCCTTTCCCTTCGTTGTCGAGCATTCACCCTTAGTCGGATAGGTTGGTTAGTCAGGCAACGAGTCATCGCGTTTAGAAGATCGATTACTCGATTGTTTTTTTCTTCTTTCTTTCTCGTGCTCGATTAGCAACGAGGTATAAATGTATAAATTTATAATAAATTTGGTCGATTATTTCTAGGGCAATTAGGATAAGATAAAATCAATTGTAGGAATTTGAATCGATCGATTTCTCGTGTCAAGATAAATTTATGAATTTGGTCGAATATTTTTAAAACGATGGATCTATATTATCTTTGGGATAAAGTAAAATCAATTATATACATAAATTTAATCGAATATTTTTAGAGCAATGTATTAATTCTTATACTTGATATATATATATATATATATATATACAAAGCACTTGAAACGTTCCGTTTAAATTAAGAAAGTAAGAAATTAAACGAACAAATTAGTTCTTCTTATAAAACTCTAAATTATCATTCTTGATTTAAATTTTTACCCGTGGTAAGAATTTTTAATCTTATCCAATCATAAACGTATGTATCCGTCCACGGTTAAAATAACTCGACGTGCGCCACGAGTCACTTTTATTACCAGTTTTACGATTATGCCCCCACGCATAAAAGGGATCTTCTATATCGCGAAAAACTGACTTTCTTACCGTAGGCTGGGTCGACGTGTAAACGCCTGGGAGCACCGCTATTGGACGGTTACCTATAACAGAAGAGTAACAAAATTTATGGAGATAAGAAGCACCGCTTAATACCGAGAAATCTAAACCTTATCAAGTTTTGTAAAAAAAGAAAAAGAAAAATAAAACCCTCTCTTTGGCAAGTCAATTCGGCCCACTTTCGATGGGGATATAAGACGCTCTGTGGTAAATTCATAACGACGAGATAAGATTAACCGAGATAAGATAAAGTTGCTCCAACTACGTTTCTATCCTTAATAAATCGATGTAGAACGAACGAATGTCTCAACCGAAGAGAACGAAGGATTAATGACGAGTGAAATTATGATCGTAACACGGTACAGACGTCGTTGGTTTTACGCTCTTCGTTTTCCCCTTCGTCCACGATCGAACGATAAATCATGGCGGCGGTTTCGCCGCCATTATTATTCCATAGAAAGAAACCGGATGCTGGATTTAAACGACATTCCAATTTGAAGAATTCGTCGAGGGAAGGGAACGTTTAAAGGAAATGTTTTCGAAACGATCTCGACGGCACCTGTTACTCTTTCGCCATTTAATATCATCGGATCCGTTTCAATATTTCCCGCGTCCTCGAGAGCATAGGACAGATAGATCGTCCGTACTCGATCGATCATCGATCGAGAATTAATATCTCCCGCGTGAAAATAATTCTGGATAAACAGAATCATTCCTTTCCATCCATACGGATCAATATTTCACCAAGATATTCGTTTCGTGTACGAGGTCGTGTATATAATCGAATTGGTACCGTACCGAAAAATTCATTTATCTTTCGAATGATTTCGCGCACGCCGCGTGTGCATAGGCGGAAGTGATTAAAAATGAAACGAGATATCGATACGTCTCGCTTGTTTGCACTCGCTCACTCGATACTCTAATAATATATCCAGATACGCGAGTGCCATTCCTCTCGCCTAACTATCATTTTAATTACTATCCGATATTTGTTCGATAGAAAAAAGAAGAAAAAAATATGGAAAATATTAAATATTTTCAAAATCAATCAGAATTGTTTTTACGACCAACTATCACCAACCGTTATTCTCTCTTTCTCTCTCTTCCTATCTGTGTTCGTCGTTTCTCGTTATCCCCGCGTTATCCCCATTCCACGCAAGAGAAGAGGGAAAGAATTGTAAATTCCAAGTGATTTCGTACGCGCGCTTCGAATCCGACAGATACACATCCTCGTCCTCGATCGACCGAGGAGACTTATATTTATTATTATTATCACGAATGAACGGAGAGAAAGAACGAAAAAGGGGGAAGGGGATCGAATCGAACCGGTGCTCGAGCCAACGACGACTTTATATTCAAGAACGTGCACGCCGCGTCTCCGCTCGCCCTAATACGTCGTGCGCCACGACACTTCTTTCTCGACTCTGCATGGATAACGCGTTGGTTGGATCTCGGCCGCCTCCGATCGATATTTTTCATTCTCTTTTACATCTCTCCCTTGAAAATGTACTTTTGGGAAGGGCTTAGAATGGTATTCTTTACCATTGATGCCGGAATTCAGGGGATTCAGAAAACGTGTAAAAAAAAAAAAAGAAAAAAAAAGATGGCGGGCATTTCGCGTGCGAACAATACCATTTTTTTCGATTTTAATCAATTTAGAATCGGTTCTTTTTTTCTCTCTCTCAAATATTTTTAATACTTAAAACTTTTACGAAAGTTTTTATTACACAATATTCGGATGTCCAAAAAAAAAAAAAAAAAAAAGGGATGGCGAACATGTCGTTTCATTTTGTGTACGAAGAACACGATTTTTTCATTTTTTTTTTTCGATTTAGGAAGAATCGGTTCTTTCTTTTTTCTTTTAAATATTTTTAATACTTACGACTTTTAAAAAACTTTTACGAAAATTTTTATTAAATACTCGAATAGGGATTTGGATGTGTAAAAAAAAAAAAAAAGAGAATTTTGGGTAAATTTTAACGCACAGGATTGAAATTTTATTCCATTTTGTTTCGTGTGCGAAGAATACTATTTTTTTTCGATTTTTCGATTTACAATCGATTCTTTCCCTTTTCTCCCAAATATTTTATCTTATTAATATCTATTTATCAATGTATTTTTTATACTTTTTTAAAAATTTTTTTACCGAAAATATTTATGAAGTATTAATCGCTCGAATATAGAGATTCGAATATGTGAAAAAAGAATGGCGAATTTTGCACAGGTTGAAATTTGTTTTGCGTGCGAAAAATATAATTTTTTCAACTTTTCGACTTAGGGAGAATCTTTTTCCTTCTTTTTTTTTTTTTTTCGTTTTCCAAATATTTCCTTCGGCATTTATGAAAGCATATAAAATACTGTTTAAAAAAACACTTGAAAAAAGACTCTTTCAATTAAAAGGAAGCTCATAAAAAACTCTCCATCCAATTAAAATACGTAAAACGGGTAAAAAAAAGGATGTTCTTCCAATTAAAAAAAAAAAGAAAAAGAAAA